GGTCTACGGGGTAGGGCGAGGGGGTTTAGGGTTTAGGGGGCCAGAAGGGGGGGGGGGGGTCCGGGGGCCTACTATTTAGATTTAGATTATTAAAATTATTCAATTGCGGCCCCCCGGACCCCCTCCCGAGGATTTAGATTATTGACGTTAATTATTCAGATTATTGACTTCCCGGCCTCAATTTAAAAATTTTAAATGCCCCCGGACCTCCCCGGACCCCCTCCCCAGGATTTCAATTATCTAAAATATTTAAATTGTGCAATTCCCGGCCCCAAACAATTTAAATTCTGGAGAGGTGGCTCCGGAATCAAACTATTCAACATATTTAACTGGGGTCGGGAGCTACGCGGAAACCCCACAAGGGATATGATAAGCATTTGCCTGCCTACGCTAAATACTATGGTTCCAGCTGGCGATAGTGCCCCATTTAAGCCGCACACTCCCCCACCACCACAGCATTATTGTTATTATTTGTCTTATTTCGGCTCGCTCTCCTGAAAAGAGAGAAACCACATTTTCTTCCCGAAAGTAGCATTATGTCTGGGAGCTTGGGCAAGGAAGAAAGGGAAGAGAGCCCCGCCATTATGATTATTTCAGCTGTCTCCTGGAAGACGAGAAGTCTGTTTTATCCCCAGTATTATGTCTAGGAGGTCCCCCCCCACCGAAAATAGTATTATGTCTAGTAGGTCGGGCAGGGAAGAAAGGGAAGAGAGCCCACCCCCACGGGATCATTATCATTATAATTTCAGCTTTCTCCTGGAAGAAGAGAAGAGTACTGCACCGCGGAGGGGGGCAGCCGGAAAAAAAAATGAAGGCCCGCGGGAGTCTTTGCATTATTTATTCTGCTTCCTGCACCCAGGTGACCAATACGGAAGGTCAGATGCTATTAAAAGCAATCACAGGGGATGACTACATCTGTAAATGCGGACGCAACCGAGTCCACAACCCGAGAAGCGCAACGACTCACAAGTCACCTTCCTTGCCGCTTTGGCACCAGGCAAGGGCTGCCCCGACTGCGCCGACCACGACGTCGGCACTCCGGAAGAGTGCAGCCTGCTCTGCGCAGGACTCTCACAAAACCCCATCGCTGAGAATCCTGTCAAGCATTAGAGGTACGGCCACAAGTCTCTTTGTCTAGGTCTAGGTCCGGGATTGGCAAGGACTGGCCTGCTGGAGCAAGGGTCGCTGTTCCAGGTCGTCCAGAACTCTCCATGCCTGTCCAATCAGAGGAAACTCAAAACGTCAGGTCAAAACCTCTCATCTTCAGCGCTTAAACTTAAAGCCAGGCCGCTATTTCGTCCGAGACCGCCAGTGGATCCAAAGCCTTTGCGGTGAGCTTCCTGGGCAAGATCAACTGACAGAATCAGATGGTATATCACCTTAAGCTTGAAATGCCTCGAGACTTAAGACTCCTGGAAGCTCTACATGTCAGCACCTGACATGTACATGGCTCAGATTTCCCTCACACCGAAATCAAGGCGAGCATCGGTAGATCAAGAAAAGATCGCCCGTGGGCAAAGGCGCGCTGGATCACGATGACGGCAATGTGGCCTGCAAAAGTCAGACTCTGCGCATGTCAGTCTCCAGTCGGCACCATGGGCATCTGAATCCACCTGCATACAGACTTTTTGTGGCAATGTCGACACCCCGCTTAGCACCTCGAGATAAAAAAAAAGGAACCCTTTCAGACTCTCGAAGTGCTCCCAAGCTACCGCCGGCTTCGGGTTTCGAGCCCAAAGCCCCAGGAAGGAGAGGGCGGCGCCAGAAGGCATGTGCCAATCCATCCTGAGAATGCGGCATTCGTGGGATGCAAAGTCTTAGTCTTTCAAATTCGTCCAATGGCTCCGAGATGCCATTTCGAAGCCATGATGGCGGCTCAAGGCCTCCTTGAATGATGTGACCTGCACCAGATTTGGGAAGCCTAGATTGGCCTGGACATGCTCTCGCGCTGATGACCTCCTCGCGACCGACTGCGTTGCTGTGGCGGAGCTCTCGATCGGCCCGCATCTCGGCGTGGCCTGAGCTGGGGCCCCACCCCGTCCCACGAGGACTTGAAGTCACTTTCAAGCTAATGTCGCAGGCACCTGCATTCAGATATCCCCAACCCAACTTGCCAGGGTTTCGTGCTCCATGGGAGGCTATGGTCTACGCAGTGAACGAATATCGCAGGATGCTTTAGGGCTTTAAGTTTTGTGTGGGGCTGGTGCCGTTTAGAAGGTTTGTAGCCTTGGGCTTTAGGGCCCTTAGGGTCTTTATGGCTTTATAGTGCCAGGTAGGGGGTTTTCCTGAGTCTCAAGACTTTTGAGATCCTTGTCGATTTTGGGGGTTCCAGGTTTTATGCCCATTTTGGGGCCTTGAGTCCTTCACAAGATTGATTAGCCGGTCCATGTGTGGCCCAATGCAACTCATTGTACCGAACCGCTGTAGGATGATGTAGGTAAGCTTCTTCGGTTGGGGTTTCGCAGGTTTTATATAGGTTTTAACGAACTCTAGGGCTCAGGGCTTCTGGGGGTTTTATGATACATTGGGCTTCGAGGGTTTACGAATTTAGGGTTTATGGGTTGTAGGGTTCTAGGCCCTAACAAAGTGAGGGAGAGGGTTTGGGGCGCTTTGATCGTCAGTGAGAAGTAGATAAGGGAACCTTCTGGAACAATAATAATCGCATGCTTGGGCCGAATATCCATGATCTACAATGTCTTGCGCCGCATGTTAAGAACAATGTAGGCTCGTTATGCGTGCATTGAAGCACGCTCCGTCGGCAAGTAGCCCCAAAGCAACTGACCAAAGCAGCGCTGCCGCATGGTGTGAAGCATGACCTGTCAAACAGCTCCCAGAATCGGTTTGAATGTGATTATGTAGCATCCAACAGCTAATGGACTGTTGAGAGAGTCCAAACGATGATCACTGAACTTCGGCATGTCTGAGCTGGGTTACCCTCCATTGGTTTGGCCGAGATTCGGGAGGTGCCGTTGTGAGCAGCTGCAGGAAGGGCGCATGCCTTCTGTCACGAACTAATCCGAGATATGCGAGATTTCGTTCGCAAGCACGTCGACGCTTAGCGTCAATCTGAACTGTCCGCATAAGGAACACCCAACTAAGATGCGCATGAGCTATCCGCAAACTGACTATACTCTTGTAGTAAGTAGTCCAGTGAACCCATGCTGCCCGCCTGATGACCCAAAGCTCAAACCGTTTCTGCACGTCCTGCTGCTCATCCACCTGTTCGATGCCAGATGGTCTACATGCATTAGCAGTGCTCGAGCACTCTACGACTCTGCTGTCAGTCATACATAGACCACATGCCCAACTTGCAAACGAGCGGACCTGTCAAGTCCCTGCCCGGCACTCAAAACATGAACAAATTGCTGCCATTGTTGGGCCATATTGGACCCAGACCTTTAGCCTCGTACCTCGTCGGTATCTGCATGCTGCGCAGATTGCTTTCTACCAAGCTCGCTGGAGTCCGATTGTCGTGTTTATAAGCGCAATACAGCGATGTACAGCGCCATCTGCCTTGGGCATCTCAGAAGCGGTCTCGAAGTCCGTGTCTTCGCCTGAGTGCAAATCAAGTCGGATTGCAAGCACAAGACATGCGGTCGATTGTGCTAGTCCTATGCCGTCGATGGCACCAAGGAACTCCGTTTTGCATCGAGAGAGTTACGGCGAAGGCAGCACTTGACAGCTTCTCTTGTTCCAAAGAGGTGGCCTGTAAACGAGATTGCTTGAGGCAATGGGTCGGCTGGGTGCAGCATGCTTGCGAAAAAGGTATGCGTCGAAAAGGAGGATCAGGAGGACGTCCCGCTGAGCCTTGTCACCGAGGCTTTCGTGAGCGCGAGGGCCGTTGAGCCTTGCGGAAAGAGACAAAATAACCGGGCTGTCTGGTTGATTCGACGAAGGACCCGCCACATGAGGCACACTAAGAAGGCAGAGGCCTGGCAGCCGCTGGCACGATCCAGTGGAGGTTGTGCCAAATGTTGTCTCCGTTCTCGGGGAGATTTAAGACCTCGAGGCGGAGTGCACGCCGTCTCGGCGGCAACGGAATCTAGAGTCGCCTGGGGCTGTGTGCCAGGGTCGAGAATTGGATGCTCGCGGGAATGATTGGGCTGGATAGGGCTGGAAAGAGCGAAGCTCTTGACCAGCAGGTGAGGTCAGGTTGCGCGGGGAAGGCTCAGCAATATAACGAATTTGTATGTAGCGCGCCTTGCATATCACAGCACCTCATGCTTCTGCTGAGGCAGCTACCGCATAGTGTCTCGGGGAATATTTATTGCCAAGCGTATCTTATCATCACCACACGACACAACGGCATGTTACTTCGGCCCGGTTCATCCCGGTTCGAGGATCGCCCCTCGTCATCCTCCGCCAGCCCAACTCACAGGTTAACATCTCAATGTGCAGCTCTGTGGCAAAGCCGATGGTTTGCCTTGCCAGGGCCTCCTCTTCCGCTGCACTTGGCCAAAGGTCGCCTGAACTTCCGAGGCAGATGAACTGAGAAGGCGAGGCATTCGTAGTTGCAGGGAGGATCCGCACAGCCGAAGTAGACTGTAGGTTTGCCCATGCTATCATATGCTGTCCAGCTCGTACCTGGACCCTCCAAAGTATGCAAAATAATAGCCTTTAAGAAAGAACAGCCTTTTTGCGGCACAATCCTTGAAAACAGCCCCGCAGTGGAAGCATCCTTGATTTGTGATTCGAAGGGACTTTGTGTGGCCATTCCGGGTTTTGGAAGGCTGCTTTTGCAATTCGTGTGGCTGTTCCTGCTTTAGACAGAGTGAGGTGGCTGAAGGTTTCTGGAGCTATACAAGTTAGGGTAGAGCGCGTAGGAAAGATGAGTGCTTCGTGGCACTCGTGGCCTTACAGTCAGTTTTTTGGTTGGCCGAAGCCGTGAAGTGCAAGGCTCGAACAGGACAGGTAACAATACGAATTGCTGCGAGGAGGAGGTCACTATTGTCGACAAGCTGACGCGCAACATGATTAGAGAAACACGACTGTCGTGTGGCCATTCTGGTTAGTGTGTGGCTGATTTCGTGCAGGGATGGCTATTCTTGTTTTTGAGGATGTAATTACGGATGGCGCTTTTGGTTCCATGGGGCTGTTTTGGTCTGGATATGTCTGGGTGTGGCTGTTTTGGTGTGTTGTTTGCTTTGTGGCCGTTTTTTTGCGCAAGCGGCAGGTCTAGGTAGTCTTAGTTTGAAGGTAAGGCCCTGCGCGCCCTGCAGTCACGTCACCGAGATCCTCCCTCATAGCAAGATGAAACCTGGCAATCTCGTGCAGGCAACTGCGAGTATGATTATGATCTCTCTCTCTCTCTCTCACCTGACCGTCCTTTGCAAGGCGCTGGATTGCTGTGCTCTGTTTCCGCGCTTCCCGCCTGTTGCGCCCCGTCTCCGAACATGTCTGCAGCTGCTCCGGGAGAGGAATCTCGCCATCGGAAGGCTTACCTTACGCAGCAACTTGACAAGCCGACTTGGGTTTCGAAACCTGCAGGCTTGGTGTAAAGCCGTACAGATAGACCTGAACCAGAGCAAGGCACGGACAGTGACGACGCCCTTCACGATGCAGGCGTGATGGAACTGGGCTGTGCACTGCACCTGCAGGGCTTGGCCGGCTTAGCCCAGCTCCACCATTGGACAAACGGTTTGTAGCCAAAGTTGGGCAGCCGCTTCAAGATTTGCCTGCCGTGGCTGCCCTTGTTGCTGCAAAGGTGACGGAGACCACCTCGGCAAGGGAAGGTCGCAGGGCTCTTTTCTGGATCTTCCTGCTGAAGTCCAGGGCCCCAAGCTCGAGAGATCAGCACTGGTACTCGAGAGAGGTGAATATCAACCACTCGACAAGTAACTCTGAGCCAGGCAACAGCAGCGACCGCAGTGCTGTGGCATCGAGCACATCGGGGCAGCCTTCACTCTGGAGCCGTTGGCCAAAGCCTTGGGAATGGCACAAACTTTTGAGATATCGAGACATACAAGTCACGCAAGACTGCACAGGAAATGGTTCAGACTAGCCTGGGTAAGGGCAGATGCTGGACTCATGCCCACTGCACTGTTGCCACTGAGGCCATCGGCATGTGTATCACTGGCTGCAATGCTGACTTCATCACCAGTGCTTCCAAATAGGGGCCGGCTAACGACATGAGATTATGATGGTCTTGGTACAGTACGGTGTAGTCTGCTGCCGCTGATGCGCTTTCCGACGAAAGTTATACGCCATATCTTGGTGTTAGCTGTAGCCCAAGTCGTCGGATTTGTTCAGCCTCGCTGCGGTCCATTGCCTGGCAATTGACGTTCCCAGTGCGCCAATGGACTGCCAAACGCACGAAGTTGTACTCAATGTCTGCCTCAAGGGAGCACAAAGCATACTGTCTGTAATGTAACCGCATGTAGGTCAAAACTTGTCTCACTGCATGGTGGATGGTTTGTTCAGCAGCCCTTTATTGGTAATTGTCAATTGTGTAGAAGTCGCGATCCTCGTGACTGCCGTCATTTGACACAGGTGTGGTCTTGATACTATCACTGCTTGTATTCAGTTGGATGTCGCGATTCCTCTAAAACTCTCACACCCACGGGAGGAGGGAGAATTGAACAAACCCAAACCGACCCACAAAGAAGGGAGGATTGTAACCAGAATCCTTTGGCTGGTGCTCCGATCCGTGGTGATTATTAAAGGTATAGGGCTAGCCCCATCTTTATAGCAACGCCTAAGTCCAGAAACACTGAAGGCTTGGCTGGCAGGCCTTACTGAACGGCCACCGCGTGTCTTCCAGGCAGGTGTCGCTCAAGGTCAGAAGCTTCACCTGAGAAATTACGGACACACCTCAACCATGAGTGGAAAATTCACAATGCGCGAGAAAGCCTAATCACTTAATCCCCCATCGTGGAGTTGGCAAAGGCATCTAGACTACTGACCGTATTGAGGCTGCAGAACGCTATACAGACTTGACAAACCTTGATTGCAAATGCTTTGAACCTGTGATGTGTATATTGACCTCCGACGGACCAACCGAGCTACGCGTGAGAAGCGCTTCCAGGAATTGTTTCGTGCAGTCAAGACCGATGTTTGCTCTCAATAGCTCGGTTCTGTGCCAGTCATGAACTGCGGTCCTCCACACTCCCCAAACTGTAGTGCAAATGGCCATCATCTCAGCGGTATTGAGGCTGCCGACGACCTCTCGCAATTCACAGGGCTAGCTTCAGGGCGACATAGCACAACAAAGTGCGATGCATGTAGGCTACTTTGCTCTGCTTTCCCAATCTTCATTAACCCCGGGTTAGCTAGGTAGCATAATTCTGCGAAAGGCATAAGTATTTGCCATAGGATGTCTGAAATGGCGTCCTAAAGTCAGTCCAAAGTCAAGAAGTCTGCAGTTTGGCCTTGCCAGCCAACAGCCATCTTTGAAGGCAAATGATGTTTTCCATCAGCGCACCTTCACATAGATTGCACAGGAATGAAAACCGCATCTTCCGTGGGGTTGAATCTGCCAGATCTGTCCCTGTTCAGGTCTGTTTGAGCAGTCGGCAGCGTGCCTGGCAAGCAGGCCGAGAACTTGGCATAGCTAGAGAAGATCCGCTGGAAGTCCTTTTCCAACCACTCCTCGCAGTATGAAGCGGCCTCGCCAGGGCAGTAGCATCTCAGATCGGAACAGTGAAGGTCATATACCGGCTATACCCACTCAGCCCTCGCCAGACTCTGAAGCTCGACAAAGCCAGAGTCTGCAATAGCAGACGGTCTCAACTGAAAGCCCCGAACCCCGACAGTGCCTCGATGATCCGCCGTGCCTCACTGGAGGGCCGCAACATCCGCTCATGAAGATCTCCACGGCCTGGGAAAACGGCAGATAGCTGACGTACTGTAGTGCCGAGGCCGTGCAGCGTATGCAGTCGACCCTGCCTATGTGCAAGGAGCCGTCGAAAAGAGCGTGTAACGTGGTGTAGTAGTCATAAGCTTCTACACAAGCACCTTGGTTCAACATGAACTTCAGTGTGCTGTGTAGCACTGCGGCAGCCAGCCTCCACATGCTGCCTTGACAGACTGTCTAAGTCAGTTTTGGCACAATAATCCCTGGTTGGCCAAATCACCTTGGTGCATGTCTGGGTGCACCTACAGAAGGCAGATGCAGGGCCAAATCCCAAGCTACCCTGACATACAGTCATTCATAGAGAGCAGTGGCTTCCTAACCTCCGACGTCTGATGAAGTGCGGCCGAGATGAAGGACATGCAGCCGAATCAGACAAGTTCAAGCCCGACTCGCAACATGTCGCAACAGCTTCGATCGGGATTCGGGGACGTAGAGACATAAAGCTCAGTGGCTAAGTGGCTCTCCAAAGGGCCCCGAAGAGAAACCACACTCGCTGCTCCTGTTCCTGTTGCAGCTATGAGTATGTCTTCATTTTTTAAACATGGGGTCGGGCTATCGACGTGTTGCAGCCCGACACCACCGCTGCACAGGCAGGCTTAACGGTTGTAGAGCAGGGAATAACACAACACTTTCATCCAAGTATGGTGAATCAGCCGACAGTCAATCAATCCCTGCGGGCGCCCGCGATGAAACACATGACAGTAGCATTGACCTGTCATAGGAAAGCCTATACATCTGCAGTGTCTAGAGCCTGCAAAACGCCTTGTGAAGTGCACCCCGAAGCCCCTCCTCGATCGGCCATCCGCGGAAGACCACCTGGCTGGTGACATTTCCCAGGCTCTTGTAGGCATCAACGAGTCCATACCTCAGATTGTCCCAACTTGCGGATTTGGGTGCGAAGTAGTTGTCAGCTCGATAGACTTCGACCCACCTGGTACAGTAGAAGGTACAGTAGGAGAGATGGATGCAACTGATCTTGCCACAGTTTTGCCAAGCTGCTTCAGTAGCAAATAGTAGATAAACACGTCAAACCTGGGCTGTCTGGTGATCTGCTAGCGATCCTACTACATCTTTGGAACATGGTAGGGCATGCAAATGTCCATGCCAGTGTCTTCAGCTGACAATCACGTCACCTGCCTTGGCACCTACCCGTGGCTCAGCGTAGCTATGCGCAGCTCATGACTCAAGGGGCATGAAGGGCGTGTTCAGCTGGCAGTGCCGGACCAGCTCCGTGGTGTTGCAAATCTGTCGGAGATGCTGAAGCAAACCTCCAGTCTCTCAAAGGGCAAGTGCCGAAACGATGCAGCGGGCTGGTATGCGGAGCTGAACTTGTCAGCTTAGACGTGGGAGAAAAAGTTGACGACGGACGATTCCCGCCGGCCTTCGAGCTTTGCGATGGTCGCCTGCAGCACCGCTTGGGGGCAAGACACCACGTAGAGCGCGTAGTTCTGATAGATCTCCCGCAGCCCTGGGACCTAACCGAGCTCGTGGAGCGAGGCTGGCTGCTTCAAACCTTCAAGCTCCAGCGAACCTCCAGTACTCGCTGTGCTTCGATGTCCCACCTCCGCACATGGAGCAAGATTCGGACAGTGGATTTGGTGTGGTTAGGTCTTTGGGGTGGTGTGGCTTGGCAGGCGCAAGTCTTGCTTTGCCTCCGTCTCGAAGCTGATTTACCTATCGGTACAGAGGCGGTTGATGGCGGTTGTGTCCTAGGAATGCGGAAGCACAAACTCGAACCTGGCTTCTTCCAGCGCTGCGGTCACCTCTGCGTGCGCAGCACGCAGCTCATCCTTGTGCTGCGTTCAAGTTTTCTGATGAATCACTGGTGACCCCGTCTTACCGACTAGGGACGTCGAAGCCGGGAAATCAAGGAAGCTTGCATACCCGATGCGTGACCAGTGTCTGAGCCGATAGTGCCGTCCGACCAGCAAACCTGGCCTTGGACCATGAAGACATTTCTGCTTGTCAATGTTGCAGACTTGAGGATGTAAGTGGCGTTGTTCGTGATGGTTGTTCCACATGCAGCTCAGCAACCGTGCGTGCCGACTGCAATATGCTCCAGCAAGCTAGATTCCAGTGTCGATGCCAAGTGAGGCAGGTTCTCATTGAAGAGCACCTGCCCACAACCGTTCTGAAGGCTCGACACCAATAGAAAATGCAAGGCCGCTCAATTATGTCCAGCAATACAAAAACATCTAACAAATCCGGGCGCCGCCGTGCCCTCCAGGGTCTCAGAAAGTCCGGCTGCTTGCATGGCATGTGCATCTGAGCAGGCCTTCGAACGTCCACATGCCACTTTGTCTGCCTAGCTGATAATCGGGGTCCAGCTGTTTGGAGGAGAGCTGGGCACGAGGATCTGTTGTGATGTTTGACAACTGATCAGCATATTTCAGGCTACAGACGGCATCTTCCCATCTGGGTTCAAGATACACAAACTGTCCTACGGCTCGCATGTCATCTGCCGCGAGGGCTGCTTGTGCTTGAGCCCCGTGCTCTGTGCATCTCTCTCCCGCTCTCTCTAACCTCTGATTGCAAGTCACAATGGCGTGAATCTCTGGCCCTTTACATGCGAAGATGGGCTGGATGCTTTCAGCCACTGATTTTGGCACGGTCGCTTTGAACCGCAGGCACATCTGAAACAACTCCCTTTGGAGGTAACTCGAGGTCTAACGTGCCACACGTCTAGTTGATGTCACTGCTGGGGCTAAGCCACCCCAGCCGCGAGAACACATTCCTCTCGGCTAAGTCTAAACAACAAAACTCCATGTCTATGTGGCAGTACATTAACACACCAAAGAAGTCAACAAACAAAAGCTGAACAAGCTCTCCTTGCTTTCTGCCTCATCCAGGCCTCCAGGATCTGCCTGCGGAATCAGTTTGGGAACAGGAAAAGAGCGTCGCTGTGTACACTTGCATCGCACTGAAATCAAAGTACCGCATACAGCATATACAGTACCTCAAGCCGTTGCTGATCTTTACAGTCCTTCCGTTGGAACTGAAGGTCTTGACAGTACTAGTCGAAGGTACAAATTACATCGCAACTGGTTCCTTAGGAGTACATCGATGGACAGACCTGGACGTTGGCACTTGGACTTGGAGCTCCTGCTTCATGATGCACCTCTAGCGTCCAGATCTACAGTATCGATAGAATATGTCCACCACTCTCCTCAGGCCTCGAGACGAGGAGGACAGGACTCAATCTCGTTGGGTGTCGGTGGCAGTGGCGGCTGTGTCGTCCTAGCAAAACAGTCCGGGCGCATGTCTCGGATTCAGATCTCAGGTTCCCATCCTTGCGGATGCCAGGGTGGCGATGGGCCGGGTCAGTGCGCACCCTCGCAGCTTGCTCTGATGTCAGCAGTCCTCTGTAGGCGCCGGGATAAGCCCGAGTTTCCTCGGGCCCAACGCAAAAAGCTTCGTGACAAATAGAGCCCTGCTAACCCTGATTGTCAGTTCTAACAACATGATGCCAAGGGGATCATGATCAGCCCTGTCACGCGCATATGATCTTACTCCAGGGCGCACCAGCATGCAGCCAGGCCGCGTTTCCAAGCGAGTGAACTGCTGTTGCATCCTGTCAGTCTGCAGTTCGCAAAGCCAGAAGTGTTGCCTATCTCAGCAGTCTCAGCAACAACGACCAACAAGAAGAAGAGCTACACACACTGCACGAACAGGTTGCAGTATAGCACGCTGCACATCCGCTTGAATTGTTGCTTCGCCCCTGTCTCCGTAAGAGTATGCCCTGCCCAAGACTTAGCATGCATATATATATATATAATATGTGTATATATAGATATATGTGTGTATATACATACAGATATACGTATACATACATACATACAGACAGACAGACAGACATGCAGACAGACATACATATATAATAGACAGAGTCAGATAGAAGTAGATGTATACATGTGTATATGTATATATATATATATGCCGTCGCTCCACCGAGCGCATATGCATCACTATTTCTCGAACTGTTTCCCGTCTGTTTGCTAAGAGCCTGCATTTCTGTGGATGTTGACCCATTTCATCAGGAAATATCTAGAACGGGCCGAAGATAGTTGATCGTAGGTGTTTTTCGATCATAAACTCATGCTGGTCCACAACTCTGCCGGTCTGCTAGAGAAGTCCAGCAAACGGAAAAAAACAGCTTTGCCGCGCTCAGCCTTTGGACACACCCGGCAGTAGTACCGGTAATGAATTAGTTGCTTTCCAGGGCTTTGTATCTCTTTCTCCTCTTCGGGTTGCCGATGTGCCAAGAAGGATTGATCTCTTGTCGGACTTATCATGCCTGCGACCATGTACCATGTATGCATGCAGGTTTCGATGACCTGTTCTGCTTATATGTAGTAACTATATACAAAACAATGAATAAGATGTACAAGCAAGTGCAATAGCAACAACAAATGTGTATGTCCGTTATATCTATATCTATATCTATATATATAATATTATGTGTATATATATATATGCACACATGTACACACATGATGTTCATTAGTAACCGTTGTTGCAGCTTCGATCTGTGCAGATGGTCGGAGCGCTATACTCATTGGCAAGTAGTGGTGGTAGTCACCAGGTATCAAGATGATGCAGGATCAGCGGTCGTGTGCCAGCGCGGCGGCCTCTGCAATGCCATGAAAGGGCCACTCAAATGGTAGCGTACCTCAGTGCCCGAAGCACATCTGATGCTGTGGCTCTGCGCTATTGGTCTGTCGCTTTTCCGAAACTACCCGCTATGCAAAAGCACAAAACGCCCAAGTACGGAAGCCATTACGTGGTCTCTGAAGATTGATTCAACATTCAAAGAGCGCCTTCGTCAACCCAGGGCCCTAAGCCCGCTTTGACTTGGACCCCTGGGGCCCCCGGCATGTTCCGCCAGTTCCACGAGAACCACAACAACCAGAGAGCCCGCGAAGGCCAAGATGTAAACATAGGAGGCAATCTGATTCAGGACCTCGAGAGGGTCCGAACCACGAATAGGATAATAGGATGGCGAGGACGCAGTTTGCTGAACAGCTGGCGGACAGCAGAAAAACGACATGAGCGACTGGCTTCTCTTGGGTTCTAACCCCTGCAAGCATGCTTCAGGCTCTCCAGTCGTGGATCTCAAGATCCAGGCAGGTTGAATCAGCCCTGCGTTCCACATGATGGCGAAGATGACGCCGTAGAAAATCAAGATACCCTCAGTGCAATTTGCAAGCGAGGGCAGCAGTTGGAAACGTCTTCACAACGTTGGATATCGTGACGGACAAGTTCCAACAGTCCAGGGCACCCTTCACAAGACTTGACGTGACTTCATGCCCCTGACGACAAAGAGTCAGGTGGAGGCCTGATCTAAATCGGATAATCAGATACCAAGGCTGCCTCACTGTATGCCACCCCTCAAGCAAGTGCCTGAGATCCTCGCACAGAGTGTCCTTCGAACCTCCAGGCTCAAGCACATCACCCGCGAGGGGAGGCTCCTCAGAAAGACAGGTTGTGCTGATGTCTCGCTTTTGGTAGCAGCTACCACCGACATCCAAAGAGGGACCGGGCAGAAGGCAACTCCCCTTCCCTGGACATACACACATCACATCCACTGACTGAGCATGCGGCAAAATAGCCAGCAAGATGGTGGCCGGAACGGCGCACAGACCCCCACCAGCCTAGCACCAAATCGTCATCAAGGTTTCCCTACCACAACCGGGAGCATCTCACTCGGATGGTTTGATTTTAAGACATCTTGCCGAAGACTGCAGTGCCACTGGCAGCTGAGCGGCCCCTCCCTCGTTCAGGACCTGCCAAGAGATGTATTTGCCTCATCGAGCATAGCTGTGAAGGCACATGGACACCGACAAGAACGCACGTTGACCTATTTGGCAAAACTCGCGCCCGTGTTCAACATTCAGACATCAGCCAAAGATGTGAAGTCTGTCAACACGCGGTCACCAAGCTTGTGGCTCGGTGGCTGCCATCTCACCTTGGCTGGCGACTTCGGAGTAACTTCGAGCAGTCGTCGTGCAGAGCCCGGGGGCAGCGGAACTGAATTGCTGTCGAGGGACAATCCCCCAAGCCATCCCAACAAGGCCTGAAGAATGGCAGAGGCATGGCTTCTTGATGCCTCCGAAGAGCAATTGCATGCAGAAATCATCCGAGCTGAGCACCACATATCAGGGCGACCACCCAGGAAAAAAACCTGCAGGCACTGCACCCCTGCTCTGCTCTGCACACCAAGTGAGCAAGTACACTTTCAAGATTCGTGAAGTCCACCTCGTGAGCATGTCCGATTCAGATAAGTGGCACTGCTTTGATCAGCGTCTTTACCTCTGGCCTGGGCGGCGGAAAGATTGGCCGGTGGCTGTGCTTCTCTAAAGCAACCATCGCAACAGTTTCGGCAAGGAACGCCACGGGACAATCTGGGCGCAGCACGGTCTGCTTTCAATCCATGCCTCAACGACCTGTACCTTGGAATCTCGGAAGCTATGCATGGTAATGCATTCGGGAAGCAGCTTGACCCGGCTACGCAGCGAAGGGTCGACGGAGCCACACAACCGTAGTGGACCATTAAGGCATACCAGAACTTCTGGCACTCGAATCATGGGCCACAGTTAGGCCAAGTTAATGCGAAACCAACCGACCCATGGCTCTCGACGCTGGCAAGCCGTCGCAAACCTCCAGGCCCTGCACTAACTTACCACTGGGAACTGGGGCGCGGACTTTATGCAGAACCCCAGTTCGGCCTGCCTTGACCCCGAAGGCGTTGGTGGTATGGTCGTGTCTTTCCACTAGCCTGACAGAGGCTGCGCTTCAGACTTCGACTCCGAGCTGGAAACCCAATCTGCTGCGGCTGAAGCTTCACATTAGAGCATCGATTTGTCACGCGGCTGAGTCCTCTGCCATGGTGCAAGTCGCTCATCGTTGGAACGCCCAGTTGTGGGGGTGTCTTAGTGTGGGGGGGGGGGGGGTCGTGAGGGGGGAGTCGGAATAATTCGTGAATTATTCCCAAGGGGGGGGTCGGGCAATTATTCCATGATGTGGGAGACCTTCAGAACAAATTGTCAGCAACCGGTCTGCAACTACAGGTCCGGACGTAAACTTGAACCCAGAAACCCTAAACTGTGAAACCAAAACTCCCTAAAACCAGAAACCCTGAACTCAGAAACCCCAAACCGGGAAACCCTAAACCCTGAACCAACACCAGCATCTGACAGCCCGGCGCTCAAGTGATATGGTTCAAGGCAGGCATCGATTCAGGGCGATCTGTGACAACCCAAAGGCAACTTGGGTCCAATTCGGACCCGGGTTGCCGCTGTCCGGACCCGGGTTGCAAGATGACCGGTTCTGAATATCATTCCGCACCGCCCCTCCACCCTCTTGACAACATGCGCGGAAGATTAAATATTATATATAACTATTCCGTGAAAATTATCCGTCACCTCACCGCCCCCCTCTGGAATAAGTCTTTGAGACACCCCCCATGCCCAGTTTATGCGGAGCCCGTGCCTATCCAGGGCTTCTGCCTTGATGGCTGTTGTTTCCACTCGAGGGTGCCTGCATCCATGCGGCAATGCGTATGGATCACAACTCGGCGGAGACTGACACGATGGTGCTCCAAGACAGCGTCCGATGCATGTAAGCGACTGCAAATGTCAGCAGAGCATCACTCACCCTACTTGTAAAAGTTGATATGCACCGACTCCAAGTGTGTCTCATCGAGCCTCTCCGGTTCGCCCCTCCGCGTTTGCATCGCGGAGCAGGCGTCCTCAAAGATCCAGAGTGTGACTTCCCTACCCGCTCCATGCAAGTCTTGCCGCGCCGCTGGCAACGGAAGAGCCAGCACTTCCACCGTTTAGGGACTCAACCTGTATACACTTTTCTCTAGCTGCACAAACTTGCCCGCACCTCTTCGGCCAGCTCGTTGCACTGTACTGCAGCCGCTGCCCAGGCTACATGCAAGCACCATCCTGGTAGTCAAGATACCATTAAGGCGGAAATCGGAGCGAATTTTAGGGATGGTCTTGCGGCACATGGTCCCCGCCAGTGGTTGAACAAGGCCTACGGAACGCAAGTGACAAAGGCAGCGCGATGTGGAAGAAAGCAATACAATGTAGTAAGCAATGGCAGCCCAGTCTGCACCCGCTTCTTCAGCATTGCAGCTCCTGCGGGGCCAAGCAGCCGCCGCAGCATGAGTCAAGCTCTGAGGTCCGACCTTGCAGTCTTCTGCTCTTTTTCAGTGGCTTCTGGGTATGGCTGAGGATTTCAGAAGGCAGGTCGGGCTCCAGGTCTTGCCGTGGAAACTTTCCATGTATATCATGTATGCAGCTTCAGCCAAGGCCGCCGGCATCGGCGACCAACCACGGCCTCTCCAGGTCACAAGGCTAAATTATGCTAAAACGTGGTGCCATGCAGGGATCGGGTACGTCCCCGACCCCGACCACGCGCTGTTCACTGAGACAGTCGGCTCCACACAGCAGGAAAATTGTCCTCTGGACCTGCCCACCTAAGGCCTAAGGTCCCAGATCCGCTTCGCTTCAAGGCTCACAGACTGCGGGCGAGCGCGGACGCCCGCGCTGATTCAGAGCCCTGAACACCTCAGAGAAAGCCGCGCCCCTGGCCCCGGCCTGCTGCCGCCAGACTACCCGCGCCGCACTCAGGCTTGGAGCCGAAGAAGTTTCGGATTTACGGGTTTTTTGAGGGCATAAGAGCTTGCAGAATACACGGAAACATGTGCGCGGCGGTGCCTTGGGGCCCCTCTCTGTCAAGTACCAGGATCCCGATGGCAGATGCTTGCATCTTGCTCTTTTGTGCTGAAGATTCCTTCAGTCTTTAAGTTGTGACAGGGAGCATCTCCTTGGGAGATAGACCACTGTTCTCGGAGAAGCAATTCTGAGGAGTTGCTGCAAGGATGGGGCCGAGGAGTGACCACGGCGCACTTGCGAAGCTGCATCATACTATAGTCTTGCGGCAACAGCAGCTATTATCATCGAGCGCTTGCACGCCAGGTCGAGAAACCATTGAAACCACTGGACAGAAACTCGGCAGCAAATCCACAAGCTTCAGCTGCCTCAGGCTGGCCGAAGCTAAACTTCTACACAAAACCTAGCTTAAATCATAAGTTTAAAACAGCTTCCACTCTGCGGCCACTGTTTCCGACACTGCGTCCTGAGCACTCATGTTTTGGACCGAGCTGGCACTAGCGAGGTCGCGAGACTTCAAATGTCCTTTCAGTAGCTCGGGCTGCTCCCTCTAAGTGGTCAGCTTTGGATCTCGACCGTTGTCGGACGGGATTTCTCGATTTTTTTCAGCCGTAGTATTTGCTTTGACATGGACCCTAGATGGCGACCCTTCATCTCAATAGTTCCGAGCTGCGTGGAGCTGGCGTCATCTGACCACGGTCATGGTGCTGTACGCCTCCTAATGAGAAACCGATGAGAGTCCATCACATCGCGAGGCTGAAATCTCAGCTTGGGGTCTACTGCACACTCCAGCCAGGCACTCTGTACATGACCCGTGCAACAGGCGATGCAGACAGAACGGTCCTGTTCCTCGGGATCTTGTAAGCCCAGGCGCCTCAGATTCTGCTTCAAGCTAGCTGGAAGGGCGAGACCGCTGCTAGTAGAAAAGACGAAAACGAAATGCCTGCAACAGCCGGCCTCATCACCAGCAGTGGACAGTATGCACTGTGCTACAGTTGTCTGAAGCCGAACTCTGACAAGCATCTGCTGCACGTGCGCGAACTCCTGCTGCATCCTGGCTGAAAGATCGTGTTGACATGCCCGTTCAGTAGCTCTAGTTTTTTACCGATTGACTTACGCTTGAAGCAGCTGTCCAAGAAGGGACATACAGTAGGAACATGCGTGCTTGCACTCTTCTGGTGCCTGAAGACTTTGACGTTATCTGGACTTTGCTTTTGCATTGCATTTCATGATCGAGCGCCCGACAAGACGTCGCTGCATGCACTTTCCGTGAAACCTACTACCTGTCTCTAACTACACAAAATATGCGATGCTGCACGGACTGCTCGTTCGACCTGACCGTGCGGACACCCAGCTGGCTAAACGACTCCAACCTGGATCTTTCGGCGCAAGAATTAGCATCGGAACACAAAATCTCAATAAAGCGACAAAAAAGCAAGCGAGCAGCAACCTGCCTTTGACTATGACTATAACTACGCGCCGAGCCGATGCTCTGTGCATTGCACTCTTGTTGCAGGACTGTTGCGCACATGTTCAAAGAACTGTCCAGAAGTCGTTTCTCATGCGCGACTTCTTGTCACGACAGCACAGCCTGCTTCGGTGGCACCACATGGGTCTAGCGAGTCTATAGAGTCTGATAGCGACGCGGCATGAACACAAAAGGATCTTCCACCGTCAAGTGACCTGGGACGAAAATCTTAGGGACACTCAGCAGATTTGAGGGCATCGGATTCGCTCGACCGGCCCTGTCGCCTCCTGAGGCCTGCGAAAGTACCCGTGAAGGTCGCGTGCGCCTGGGCCCAGCTAGGCTAGGTTTGGACACGCGGCTCGCATGGAGCCAGTTGAGAATAATCTCTGCGAACTTGCGTCGAAACATGTCGAACCAGTATGCTTGCCGTCGGGAATACTTCCTACCCACTGCAAAAAGAACGACCCCTGATGCCAAACTTGCCGACATGTAATTGTAATTGCTTATGGATGGCAGTGCGCCGACCAACCGACCGACCAAAGATCCACTGACCCACCCACCTCGGCCGCCCACGCGCCAACAACAACAGCCACTGCAGCCGCAGCAGCAAGCGCAGCAAGCGCGGCAGCAACCATCAGCAACCACAACAGCAACAACAACAACAACGACGACGGCGAAGAACGACGCCACTACATACAACAACCACTGGGACCACGAGGTTGTCTCTAGTGCCCCCTCTCTTTGAGGTTCCCACACGGCGCCAGAGGTCGATCAGGACAACGACGCAAACTGCGCCGACCAGCGCAAAGACGTAGAGGTAAGATGCCAGCTCCTTGATGACCTGGGCTTTGCCGGAGAGCAGGCTTGGGGATCTGAGCAAGAGGAGGAAGGTTGGGGCAGCTGTGCGTCGCTAATGGTGCAGGTGACTCCCTACAGAGTGGATCCGATCACGATTGTGCAAGCTCGCACTCAACACGAGGAGTTACGGGCGTTCTTTATAAGACTGTGCTCACCTGGTATTTCGCTTGGCATCTTGGGCATGGTTCCCTCGAAAGTTGCACACCAGCCATCATTTGTGCAAGCCCCGACTCAGCAAGAGCTTAAGTTCTCCATCCTGCTCTATAGACCTGACTACGAGAAGCATGCTGCGAGGCCAGGCTCCTTGCCGGCTGGATCAAATCCCCTTTCCACATGATGGCGAATAAAATGGCAAAGAAGACCAGAATGGCCTTTCTCCGGGCAAGAAACAGCATAGCTAAGCTATTATCATGAACCTTAGGCCTTACATCATCTTAGATCACAGCTGCGTATGGAGCAGTGCGGAAAGACGGACCGCTGTTGCTTTGCTGTCCAGGGCTTAGTAGTTCGAATCTTAAGATTTTAAGAAGCATGGGCATCTCAGGCAGGCGTCGGTTGAATAGGTTACACGAGCTGGCTTGTGAGCAGCGTCGTCAGCGGTCTTCCCCAACACCTTCACACACACTATTCCGAGCAGCTCAAGACCGCTCAAATGAGAACTCTGAAGATCCGTTTCATGGTTAATGCTCTGAGTTCCTCACGCCCATCGAGCGGCGTGTCTCGGCATTGAGGTGCATGATGCTAGCTGGTACACTCCTCGGGAGCTTCTCACTGAATCGTCGGCAAAGATACACCACGTACTGATGATCATAGTCACCCCAACTGCGAGGTACAACAAGCCTTGGTCAAATTCTAGCAGCACCAACTCCGCTTGTGACAGTTTGTGAACCTGGGGTACTCTCCCGGTCTCTCTCGCCGTTTCTCTGCATAACGTTCATCGTATCGTGTAGTGAAGCGGCTCCTTGAAGAAGCGCTTCCTTTACCTAGTCAGGTGCCATGGCTTCCGCCTCCACTGCCGTGGCGCAACCATCTGAAAACCGCAAGCGATCTGGCATTGCCCTGGCTTCTAAATACCAAACCGCCCAGACTGGGGAGGTGACGCCAGGGTCAAGAACATGTTCAGGGGGATCGAGAGGCATCCTCCCCCAGCCTGGCAGCCACTGGCAGCCGGCAGCGGTCTCTGTGGGATTCGGATTGTCTGATGCTGCCTCCATCTCTGCAAGAGACTTCCAGGAGATGTACTTGCCTGGCAGAAATCCAAATGCCGATTCATGGTACCAGCTTTCCGTGAAAGGCCGCCTTGACACGTTAACTCACTCCGAAGACTTCAGTCGTGGCGGTGGAGCAACGACCCGCCCAAGCTGAGGTCGGCACTTGGCGAGTGAAATCTCAACTTGGTATGCCAGCAGGTACCGCAACAAACAATGGCGAGCTCTCAGATAGAGACACAAGGTTGCTGGCATCTGAATTTCCGCTTGCATGCAAGGGGCAATGCCGCACCACAGGCAGAGAAGGCCTTCGACACGGCATTGAATGCAGAAGCATGATGTTTATCAACCACTTCTGTGCCACCGATGTTGATGTTATCCAGCAATAGGGAGGAGGCCGTCGCAAAATTGATATCGCACATCGAAGCCCACCACATCTTTTCCCGTGGCCAAAAATGCATCGGAGTTTGGAGCTACGCGCAGGTGCGCGCCTGTTAGCACCCATCTGCATGTGCTACGGCATGATAAAACCCATTCCTCTTTGTGACTTTTTCGGTGCCTGCATTTACGAAAACTGCGCAGTTCTGGGGAGCAAGACGGGTTATCTTTCAGGACGTACGACCCACGCCGGTCGGATTGGGGGGCTCAAGGTTTGCTATTCTTCAGAATGTCTGGCATCCAGGCGTTGCCGCTCCACACTCCTCTTGCAGCTTGCGGGCCCGGGATGGCCCGGATGTCGCAGATCACCAGGAGCCGCAATTCTAACTCCGAATGAACTTCCTATAGATTCAGGCTTCACAAACACACGGCCACACTTTACCGGGCTAGTTGAAGTGCATTCAAGGGCAGGTGGCTGGGCGCACGTGCCAGCCGTTTTCATTTTACACGAGTCGCAAGAACTTTACAGCAGTCTGCACTGGCCTTGCGTTGCTACCCTGTAACAGTAGTGAAGCAAACATTTTGAGCCAGGTGTCAGTTGATGCTTGTCTGCATCCATGTTTGCACTTTCTCGTGGTCGAGCAAAGGTTACGATCATGCTTGCCGCCCAAGCCTTTTATTCTTGGAGCCAGGAAGGCTTCAAGACTCGGAAAGTGTCAAGTCGACTCGCCCTACCAACCGGCCAATCCATCGGCTGTTTTGGAATCATGGTTTAATTTGCATTGGCCAACTGGGCTGAGACTTCCATCGTGACAGTCCACCAGAAGTCTGAGAACTTGACCCAAGCTCGCAGCAATCGCCAAAGAAATACACCTGAGGCTCGCAACAACTGCTCGGCCCGCCTGGGAGATGCCAGACTTCACTTAACATGCCAGACTTTGCCATGCAACGTGGAGACAGGTCGACAAGTGTTGGGCAGAGTCTCACATAGCCGAGTAGCACCGCTTTCATGAGGACTTGGACCTCGGGCCTGAGAAACAAAGCACGTTCGGCCACTTTGTGCCAAGATCCTGGGCATCTAAGTGCCATGGCATCGTTGAAGCTCAGTCTGGAACGGTCGGCTGTTGAACCAGTCCTTCACGTTCTGAACCTCATGAGATATGGCCATGGCTCCCCACTTATACTGCCGCATGCAGCTCAAAAAAGTACATGTTTGGCCCTGACATTTGAAGGTGAATACCGGCTTATCTTCATCAAATCGCTGGAACGTCAACAGATTCAACGCGTATAACCGGATCCATCCGACAATAAGTCCCAGGCGTGATCGAGAACTACACTTTGATTTACCTCCTCGCTGAAGGTCTCGCTGAATGCCTCACTGTTGTTCGTCCTTGCGACCAGCCTGGCTTCATTGGCAATTGCTTTGGGGAACTCGAGCTCAAAAGCGGGGGTGGGAGGAAAAGCCGCTCGATCTGCGGCCCTGTCGATTGTCCTATAAGGATCCCCAAACTGCCAAAGCCAGAGCTGCTCCAGGTCACCCTGGGTCTGGGTAAGCACTACATACGTTTAGAACATCTCATGCAGATGGGCACCTGTCCAGCGCTTCTGCCTTGATGGTTGTCTGCACCGGTTGGCTCCTTGGCGTTCGGCTTCAGCGTGCTGACAGCAGCGCGGGAGTAGGTATCCGAGGCTGGCAAGGAACTCAGCTCTTGGACCAAGTCGCTTTCGCTCTTTGCTGGGATCGCCTCGACGCGTTTGCATCGCTGAGCAGGCATCCTCGGCAAGAAGCAGGGATCTCCAGCAGAAACTTGAGGATACTTTGCTGCTTGCTTGTCCTCTACAACTCGAAGAATGTGAATTCTTCTGCGCCTGGTCGACATGAAAATCCGCCGAACAGTAGTGCAGAAGCAACGTATCAGATTCTTCATCAGCGAAACTGAAGATTTGTCTGCATGCCCAGGCTTCATCCTCTGCGGCCGCGCCAGAGGCTAACTGCAGGCAGCAGAAGCATCCTGCAAAATCATCCCACGCAGAGACTTTATTTGCTCGGAGTCGTTGCGACACCTGAGGGGAAGAGACCCACTCCTGCCACACGAAGGAACCACCGGATCATCGGTCAGGCGCAGAAGCTGCGACCTAATGGCCCAGCTGCTTGGTGCTTTGGGTTGGAAATCCGGTTCTCGTAGCCTCGGCCTGGCTGCTGACACTATGGCAAAGTCTCTTGGCAAAGATATCATTATTGCCACATGATCAGGCTTAGCAGCGATCGAGACACTGAATCAGATTGGTGCGCAGGAGCTAGCAGAGTGAGTGCTGGGCGCTGCAGAAGTGACGAGGCTGCAAGCTGCAGGTAGAGGCTTGGGAAGGCTACAAGAGACCATAGCAACAAGGCCGAGCGGCATCTGCCATCAATCATGGCCTTGGCGATGCATTGAGTGTACCGTATCAATGAATTCGGAAAGCCCATTTATCAAGAGCCCAGCAGAATCGCTCTTAAGGAGGTTCGGTTCCCAGGCACGCCGCCGGGCCCGGGCTTGAGCCAAGGACATTCGTAGACATAAGTACAGCTTGGGCTGAATTTGACATCTGGAAACACGACTCGTCCTGGCTGCACTTGAGATTTCATGCACGACAGCACAACACAGACGAATAGGATCTCTAAGCAACCTCACTCAGTTGATTGAGTGATTCTGTACAGGGCCATGCGCAGCCAGAACAAACCATGTACACCATGCACCAGTCACAATTCATTGCGTCTCGCGATATGACTGCAGACTCGTTTGCTTGCGCTCGTAGGCGAGCTTCGTAGAGTCTCTCACTCCTACTGCAAAATACCCGGTGTCAGCATGGCAGCTAAACCTTTACTGAAAGTCTTGCGTCATTCGGTCATGCAAGGTTTCAACCCTGAGGGTTTTTTTCACAAGGCGTACGTACAATCCCAGGAGGTTTCAGTCGAATGCCGTGTTTGAATGTTCACGTGGCGTCGACACGCGACGACAAACAACAGAGTTGACATAGTTGCACTTCAGCTCAGAACACCCCAGAAACGGACATCAACTTCAAGTTCGAATTCCTGGTTCTACAGTAGCAGAATACCGTCCACTCCCTTTTGCTCCCAGCCTCTGCACACAGGACTGACAAGCATTCGACAGCTTTGTGCAAGCACCCAGACAGCATCAAGCAACAGTAAGGATTGCAGAGCTAAGTAAGGCTCGAAAGCGTGACCTCGCTCCACAGCTTCAGACTTGGCTTGTGCTGTCAGGTGATTCAGAGGAATTTCGACAGTCTGTGCTACCACAGCACACGGCCATGAGGAGCACTAAACCCGCCAAACGGAATCCACGTTCAGCTCTGCTTCAGCAGCTTCAGCCCTGACGACATGGAGGGAACGGACTCAAACACCCTCTAAACTCTGAGCCCACAGCTTGCCTTTAAGTTTCTGCAAGCGACTCACTGGATCCTGGTTGACCTACGGAGTCTGCCCGAAAGAACTGGCCCAAATACCGCAGAACAACCCTGGCACAGCATGCGTCAAAACTTCGACTCGAAGGCTGAGCTGCATTGCAAACACTGCAAACACTGCTTGCCTGCAACACTCTCGCTCTCGCAGATCAGCATTCATGTGTTTCGGCGAAACGACGCCAAGTGCCGACAATGAACACGCAGGATGACTGCAGTCCACGACAGCCCGTGCAACTTCTGGCCCCGATGGCTGGCAGCAATCAACTGGACTCGCGTGAGAACTTCATGTAAGCATGCCTCGTCCCAAACAGTCTCGTTGGTGCGTGCGTTGTACCAGTAGAACTTGCCTCCGTGCTGCGGCTTTCCAGGCTGCAAATCACATTCTGCCACCGAAACTGTTTGGATCTTACGGGCTGAATGCTCGCAGCCCAGACATCTGCAAGCATTGCTAAGGCATGCGCCGCGCATGCTTGTCGATTCCTCAATGTCAGCATCTGCAGAATACAATCCCCAGTGAGATCCTGCCTCAAAGTTACGGCTTAATCAAAGCGGTCAAAGCGGCACCGGATGCTCCGGCAGTCTCAACGCAAGCTGACACCACCATGCGGCCAGGAAGCCCTTCTCTCCCAGTCCGGACCGTCACGTCGCGGTGCTGTGGGCCTCGCCGGTGCTGTGGGTCGCTCCCACTGCGTCTCCTGCACTTCGAGTCACAGGAAATGCATCGGGCTGCAGAGCAAGAAAAAGCCTGTTCGCCGATTTTTCTGTAGTAGCACCTGGCAAGGGAATCACATGCTGGTGGTGTCGCTGCAAGAGCACCGAGATGCCAAGTGGCTTGTCTGGGTATTGCGTAGATGGAACACGCTCCCAACCCTCCGGGAGCGGGTCGTCATCCTGACGCCCGAATTTCGCCGAGTCTTAGCCCAAGCAAGGACCTCTGCACGACAAGGCCTGGCTGGTGGCCTTCGTCTTGGAGCTGGGCCTTGCGAGAGCACCCGGCCTCTCGGGCGCCGTGTGGCGTTTTCCATGTCTGTCAGAAGCTGCTCTGAGACTCGAAGACAAAACCTGCATGCAAAATAGAAGATGCAGAGACATTGCCCAGACTTTCTTGGAAGCGAGGTCCACCCCTAGAGCCCACTTGATGATCTCCACAGATGCCCTACCGGCCACTGCCATGTTTGCTGCTGCACTACTTTTTATCTTCTTCCGTTCGCCTCTCTTGCAAGAAACCTGTGAGGCTTTTGCTTCGCCGACGAACATGAGAGCACCATCATGTCACCACCGATGTCAGGGGAATCTATTCGGGCTGAAATTGTCAGGGTGTGGAACCGCTCGCCCGATGTGGCCACCTGCCAGCTGGAGAGCTTTCCACGGGGGCCTCAATCCGTAGATAGGCAAAGGGCTGTCGATTTCGACCTAGTGGGTCCACTGACTATTCAGGGTGATAGGTGCTCGTTGTGATCACGATGTCACTGCGTGGTATGTCGGTGCTATCTCTGGACAAACCCAACAGCATGAATGTAGATCTGGGATTCCTGCGACTCTCTACAAAAAACAAAGCAGACTTGCCATGATCATCACCCAGCAACTTGTCATAAGAGCTTCATTGCCAAAGCCTTGAATCAGCTCCGTCTCACTCTCGAGTACATGGGCCGAGAACTGAGGCCAAGTCCGAAGCTGTAGACCTGCCACAGGAAAAGGGGGGCGCAGGGCGCAAGGCATCGAACAAGCATGCCACAGATTTTTTACTTACCTCAGAATGAGGGGCCTACCTTGGCTTGGAGCACAATCACCCAGACGCAGAAGCTCTCTGAACCCATGCGCGGGGATAAGTGCACAAACCAGAAAGAATCAAGTTTCGGAAGATGTTCCAGCACTTCATGGGTGCATTGTGCGCAGTCTTGTGCCAGCTTCTTGCGCCTCGCAGGCGAAGGTTGACTCAGTTGACCAGGCATGGCCTCCACCAACGGCTGGTGAACGATGTTCATGCGGCACTTGCATAAGACAAGCTGGTCTGAGTCAGCAAGCAACGCCAGGGCCCACAGCTTCATTATAAGTTCTGAACCGAAGACATGAATCCTGTTCCTTTCCCTCTCGCGATGTGCGACTCCAACATGGTTTACAGCAGAAGTCTGGCAGAAATGACTACTGAGACTACTGCCTGCAAAGATGCTCGAGCCAAAGCTCTTCACTTAATAGTCTTGAGATGTGGAGTTTGTCCGAACAGGCCGTGGCTAGCAGCACCGTGCCTTGTTAGGCAGGGCGCATCGTGGGGGTATCTCTGTGCTTTCGCCGGTAACCTGTCCAGGCACTTCAAGCATTGATTTGATCTTGGTTTCCTTCCCTCCGAAACGACCTTTGTAAGGAGGAGCCCAAATACAAACAACGTAGGCCGATTCGGCCTACTAGCGGCTTACTGTTTTTATCTTCAGGATCTGCTGGCAACTGCCTGGGCACAATTAATCATTCTTCAAGTTGTTGTGCAAGCAGCTTTTGAGAAGCGTGAAGGGAATCAGCAGAAGCAGAGTTTGGGCAATGCTTTTCCGTCTCCATGCTGGCATCTGACAGCATTTGACAATGTAATATCCTCGGCTGATTTCCCTAAGTTCACGATTGCAGAACCCAAAGATGCTTTCGTAGAGCTTTCACAAGCTGTCGCGAAGGCAATTGCAATTTGTGGAATGCTGTCCCATCGCTTGAAATATCTTGACGACAACTTGAGGCTGACTGTCCAGCTATGTTGCTCGCAGAGACGTCACTCCCAGGTTAGCGCTTGTTTTGCAGCCTGTGACAACATGCTAAATTAAAGTAGGCCATAAACAAGTCATAAGTAGCACCAAATGCGCGAAATCAATGTAAGTGGCGGCCATCGAAATGCCACTTTGTGCTTGTAGACTCTTTGTCTTTGTAGACCTGGATGCCTCGGAAAACATTCCAGCGGTCGGGCAGGCCTGGTGGAAATAGTAGTACTGACCTGTCAACTGTGGTGGTGCAAGCAGTTTGCTGACTGGTGAGACACACCCAACGCGTTCCACATTCATGTACATACTTCGTCAAGTTTCCCAGGGCTGCGGCCTGGCGTCGAGTTGGACCGGCAGAGCTGCCACGGAGCTTTGACGACCGGCGGCTTGATCTGCAAAGTCCCCATATCCCGTCGCTGAGAAACAAGTACTTAGTCTCTTCACAAACCTGGCCAAGCTTGGATAGGCTTCAATCAGCAGATATAACAGACTGCGATGGAAGCACCGCATAAACAAAGCACAGACTCCGTAGAGAAGCCATGGACCTTCAAGATTTTTGTGTGCTCTACTCACACGAGCTTCCTCCAAGCCTCACGCGAGCCGTCCAGCGGGTTGAAATAGTAGAAGTGGCCTGGCTTCGACCTGGCAAGTCGGGATCCCACACTTGCAAATCCCGGCAAAATGCTACAACGTAACGCAACAGCGCCTAAAGCCTAAGGCTTCGCCGGCATGACTTGGACTCGAGACGTTGCCATGGAATGCCTTCTTCGTCCTTCAAAGCAGTTCGCTGTCCAGCTCAACTACGAGTACCTCGCTCACGCAACACAGCTTTGGCCAAGGTCCCGTCCCGTGTTGCCGTCCTTCTCGGCTGGCCTTGATGATGGGGCTGCGGCGCCGGCGGATCGCACCTGAC